CGTTGGCCCGCTGTTGGCCCAGGTTTAAAATCGTACATGGGTACCTTTATCCTTTTAACATGAAGAGGGGCTCAATTAATTGCCCCCTTCATTACAATTAGTCAACTTCTCACCACAAATTATTTCATATTTTTTATTTTAACCCCCTTAACTCAAATATCATGAAAATTTTTTATTTATAAATAACTTATTTTAACCCTTTCCCTTCCTCCTCTTTTATTTAATTACAATTTCTTATTATTTACAATATTATAAATTAATGATCTTGATTATAAGTCTATGTTTTGAAAACATATTAAAGAAATAAAAATTTCTATTAATTTTTTTTCATAATCACTTTTTTCCTTCCTCTTCTAACACTTTAACAATAAAATTAATTTCCCTCCTATTAATTAATAACTAAAATAAAAATCTAAATAAATTTTTTAATATTAAAATATAAATTATATAATTCAAAATAAATGGTAACACAATCTTTCAACATAAATATATTAATTCATCATATCGCATCCGAGGTAAAACCCCACGAATTAAAATAATCAAATAAACTATTATACTTATATAAAATACTAATCATATAGAGTCCAATAATCCAGTAAATATTAATCTAATTAAATAACTAAAAAAAATAATTATTCCATACTCAGCTATAAAAATTAAAGCAAATACACCTCTAAAATATTCTACATTAAATCCTGACACCAATTCTGACTCCCCCTCAACAAAATCCATCGGCCTCCGATTTAATTCAGCTAATACTCTAACATACTTATATAAAATACTAATCATATAGAACCCAATAACCCAGTAAATATTAATCTAATTAAATAACTAAAAAAAATAATTATTCCATACTCAGCTATAAAAATTAAAGCAAATACACCCCTAAAATATTCTACATTAAACCCTGACACCAATTCTGACTCTCCCTCAACAAAATCCATGGGCCTCCGATTTAATTCAGCTAATACTCTAACTAAAAATACAATAAATAAAGGTATAATTATAAATATATATCAAATATAACTCTGTCA